TTCCAGTGGTTTAACAACATTTTGTGAGAGTGGTTGATTCCAATAATTTGAATATATAATATATTTCATCATAACCTTTAAAAATGAAACAAAATGAAACTTTCTTTAGATAATCTTATATATAAAAAAACAACAACAACAACAACAACTCTATCTTTCTCACAAATTTGTGATTTTATTAACATAGAGAATATCCTATTTTTTTCAAAGTAGTTTGTGACTTAATATTAATAAGTGGTGAAATTAACCCCTTTCCACAGTCTCTGTAACAGTTTTTGTAATGACCTGAATCTAAAGCATCAGACTGAAAACAGTGCACACGACATTTGACTGTGGTGGCAGTGGGACAGTGTGTCTGAGTACAGACGAGGATTTTGGCTCTTTTGAATGATTTTCAGGCTTCAGCGGTACAACATGAATGGCGCTGATGGCAAATAAGACAAAAGTGCCAGACCTGGCCACTGATATTAAAAACCTATTATGTCAATTTCCTATCAATATAGAACTGACTTCCTTTAACCAGCATCAAATATTCAGATCATTCAGACATAAAGTTCTAAGATGATGGTCTCGTCTGTACAGCTGGTTTCACTGCACTACACTGAAGTGTGCCGATGAGGTGAGTGAGAAAGAGCAACAGTTTATAAAATACATAAAGCAGGTGAGTGAGTTAGAGTGCAAAACCAAAGCAATTACAATCTGATGGATTCTTTTCAATCTCTTTGTCACATATGTGTCTGTGAGTGAGTGAGTGAGTGTGAATGTATGTGTGAGTGAGTGAGTGTGTGGGTAACTCACACACTCACACACTCACACACTCACTTTGCAGGCTGGATCTAATATTGAGTTCAGCAGCAGTTCAATCAGATTTCATCATTATGGTCTGAGTGAAAAGGCCACTTGGAGGAAACAGAGGTGAGAGCGTGTCAAACATAACTAAGGTTTCATGAATTCATCATCCTCTCCTCTCCTGTGGTCCACTCCCCCTGGCTCAGCCAGCATCTCCTGGTCTGTATGT